GAGCCCGCAGGGCCGGGCCTCGCCGGGCCGCGCTGGGAGCCGGGCGGGACGGTCTGTGTGCGGAGCGCAGCCCGCCCCGGGAGCTGCCCGGGGCGCCTGCAGCTCCTGGCTTCCCACAGGCCGCAGAGTCTGCATGGAGCACGTTCTTGAGCCCTGCAGAAGGTCGATGGGGAGCAAGAGCACCTGGCAGTCCTCTATTTAGGTTCAACGATGCTAGTTACATTCACTTACGTGACAACTTTTTAATTCACTCTGTTGGATAACACCCTTTCAATTCAGGCTTAAAAAATAATAATCATATTCAAATAGCTTCTGGCCTGATTTAGTTTTGCACGAAGCTGCTTGGCAGGGTTCCAGCCCAAGAGAAGGGGATGACTGGGAAACAAAGCCCACCTCTTTGGGCAGAAGCCCATGCATAAAAGTGGCTCAATATTTTGAGACTGCAGCTTAAATAATCAACACCTTAAACTTACTATTTAGAAGCATTTATTGCATTTAAATGCTAAACCATTTATGCTTGCATTTAACGGTTGTCATTATTTTCTATGTAAAATAAGTGTATTTGTGTCCCTTTTTTTGTGCTGTGTCTGTCAAGCTCCCCCTACTGGACTGTAAAGGCATAATGTACAGCAACACAGGTGTGTAAAACCTGTAAGAATTTAACCTGTACCGAAGTTGCTGAATAGGTTCTTCCCTAAAAATATTTTCTATTAATAGCTATTTTCTACTTAAAAAGTAAACAGATGGAACAACCATAAGGTACAGAATAATAAACACAAAAAAAATCAATGAAGCTCTCCCAGCAACTACAAAACAGTATATTGCGAAATCAAAGTAGTTGCATATTATGTAATTTCTTTATTTTCTGTATTTATATATACATATTGCTTTGTATATTTGAATTCATGATCTCGAGGCATATGGGCCAAATGAGTAAAAGGAAGACGCTGAATTTTTAGACAGTGAACTTTTGAGTTGTTTAAGGAACTGTGGATGAAAGCCCCTGGGAAACTTGTGCTCAGTGGTAAAGGAGCAGAAGGGAGCTGGCAGCTCTTGTAGAGTGTTTTACTTGAAGTACAAAAGCTCTCGATTCCACAGCATAAGAAATCAGGCAAGGAAGGCAGGAGAACAGCACAGCTGAGTTAAGGACCTTCTGGTCAAACTGAAGTGCAAGAAAGAAATGCACAGACATGGGAAGCAGGAATATCTATCCACAGGGAAGAATATAGGGATACTGCCTGCATGTCTGGGAATGAGATCAGGAGAGATAAGGCACAGCTGGTGCTGAGCTTGGCAAGGGATTAGAAGAATAGTAGTAAGGTATGTTAGTCAGAAAAGGAAGACTTAAGAAGATGTATACCAGCTCTAAATAAGAGATCTTGGTTCTACACAAAAGGTGAAAGTGAGAGCCCAACCCATGAACATCTTTATGGATGCTTTATCTTGTGCCTACCAATTGCTTGGGTGACTGACTTTATACCACATGAATAAATAACAATCATTTAGAGGCCAAGATATTTGTTACTATAGACATCACAAATATGATAATAAGCATGTCTTTACCTCTTCTAGTACTACAGTGGACAGTGTTGATCTCAAAAAGCTAGAAGTCCTGTAAGACAGGATACTTTCCAACCTGATCTAGTGGGAGGTGTCCCTGCCCATGTAGGGGGGTTGACACAAGATAATCTTTTAAGAGAGAAAAGAAATACATTTTTTTTCAGTCCAAATGAATGCTAAAAACCAATTCAATTTAATGAAAACATTGCAGATTTTAATTGAAACACAGAACAAAAGCTGAAACACAGTTTTCTGAACAACTTTACTGGCTAATCTCAAGTCATCATTTATTTCTCTTCCACATAAAAAAATTATGTTGCTGCTCCACTTACTGCACAAAAAGGACCAAACAAAAAAAAATAATCTAAAACAGAAAAGCAAGCAGCAATACTTCCCCTGAACTTCTTAAATCTGATATTTTTAGTACAGTAGTTGAAAAGCTAAATGTGGGATGTTGATATAGGGAAGTGGATGCTTCCAAGGTAGTATGTTCATCCTCTGAAGTTGTTGGTATCATTTTAGAGCTAAACAATTAATGTTTCTATTTTTAAAATGGCTACCAATTTTAAGATAAAAATTATTATAAGTAAAAAGAATGTTGAGAACTCAATCTGATAGATGACTGTCTAAATAATCTCCACCATTGAAAACTGTAAAATTTTGAATAGATTACTATTAACTAGAATAATTTAGGCATATCAATATAAACATTAACTTTATAATATTTTTTAAAGTGATTTTTATCTAATAAATCATAGATGCACATATACATATTTTCCCAAAAATGAAAGAATAGACTGGGAGATGTCAGTGGATACGGAATGGGAGATTTCATTCATTCTTGGTCACACATTACAATTGTCTAATGGATAACTTTGGGAAGCATAGTAAAATAATTCTTCAACTCAAAATGTATTTGTTCTGATAATCATATATACTTAAATTTTCAGTAAGAAAAGGACCAGTGTGACTCATCAGACCCGTATTGCGGCATCATCTGCAATAAGTATAAGGAGAATATTGTGGTAATGGTTCAGTATCATTACCATCAAATTGCATTTAAGTTTATTATTAAGTTGATCGTTATGTTACATTTTCAGTAGCTTATAAACATAACAACTGGCACAACTGTGCTGTTCCAAAAACTGACACAATGATACACAAAAATCTCAAGCCACAGACACACAAAATGCTTTGGCAGAACAGAGGAATATTTTCCTGACTATTTGGCAACTGTTAGAAAGGAGCAAAACCACAGTGAACATGTATAATAAAAAATATTCTAGCTTTAAACCAAACAGGTATTATAATCTGCTATTGCAATCTGAACAATCAGAGTTTATCATCAATGGATTAATATGTTTATATTTTGCTTCAATATTAACATGGATCGCAAGACTGTGGATGTTTTTTATTACTATCCTGTGAAATACACTACCCTCTTTCATGAGATCTTCAACCTTCTTATCTGTTGACATGATTATTTTCTTTTCTCCTGTATAATCTGGATCTTCTGGGTATAACTCATCCCCTGAAGAGAGAAAAACAAGTTTGATATATATTGCCTACCTTATTTTTCAGCCTTTTGATTGAGTGACACTGGCAATTTTCTTAACATTTGTCAGGACATGAAACTCACTGGGAATGTATTTCACAACACAAAAGAGAATTGCCTCTAAAGATCTTCAGATCTAAAGATACAGCCAATGATATGGCTGTGTCTGTAAACGGCACTACAGTGCACATTCGAGGTATTGATTTGAATGTTCAGTGTTCCTGATAATACTAATATGCTATAATCACAGCCTGGTCACACAGGAGTTTATATAATGGATGGAGAACAAGACAGATATTTTTCCAAGTGTATGAAGATAAGCTACAGTAGGTCTAAGAATAGAAACAGCTTTGTTTTCTGTTTTATTGAATGAAGAGTGTTTTGCCATATAAATGCATGTTACTCTTGTGCAGGAGTGCTAATAGGCCACAAATACAGAAATTATAGAGGTCAAGTGTGACAAAAAAAACCAGGAGAAAGTATAAAGAAGAACAAACTAAAAAAGCAGAAAATAGTAAATAGTAGATGCAGCTTTTCTTAAGGAGAAGGCAAAAATGTACATGCTTATGTAATGAGAAACACTTCAGCAG